GCTGATGCACCAGCATCTCCCTCAGGATTACAGGAACCCGCTGATGGAGATGGAGCCGAAGGTGCTGAGCGCTAGGAAGTGCCAGGTGGTGTTCTTGGGCCTGAAGGAGATCCTGCAGTGCCACTCCATGTTCCAGATCGCCCTCGCCTCCCGCGTGGCCGAGTGGGACTCGGCAGAGAAGATCGGGGACCTCTTTGTGGCCTCGGTAGGAGGAAAAGTGGGGGGGACAGCTGCCAAACCTCCCCCTGGACCCCTCTCAGCGATAGCGTGGGGGGATTGGAGGATTTAAGTGATGCAGCCCCAACCTGGGGTACCACCAGCATCCTCAGCATCACTCCAAAAATACACGAGAACACCCGGGCTTTGCTGATCCCCCTTTTTGGGGGAGCCCCACGCCATCGCGGCTCTCCTCCTGTCCTCTCTGCAGTTCTCCAAGTCGATGGTGCTGGACGTCTACAGCGACTACGTCAACAACTTCACCACTGCCATGTCCCTCATCAAGAAGGCTTGTCTCACCAAACCCGCCTTCCTCGACTTCCTCAAGGTCAGCAGGACCCAGGAGTGGACACGTGGTGCTGCTGGGTCACTGTTATGGGTGAAAATTCCTCTTTTTTTGCTTTGTTTTCCCGCTGCAGAAGAGGCAGATGGCCAGTGCTGACCGGGTCACACTCTACGGGCTGATGGTGAAGCCCATCCAGAGGTTCCCCCAGTTCATCCTGCTTCTGCAGGTATGGATGAGGGCTACCAGGACCCACCTTGCTTTGGACCTTATTTCTTGCAGCCTGGGTGCTGTGGGAAAGGGTTTAGCAAGGGACGTGTTTTTGGGTTGTCAGCTGGGTTGCAGCTTTGGGGACTGTCCCAAGGATCGTCTTCCAAGTTTTGGTTTCAGAAGTGCCAAAAGCACGTCTATTGTAGCATCCCTAACGCAACTGATTTTGCTGTGGTGGCTTTTGTCCCCCATCCTTTCTCCCACCCCAGGACATGCTGAAAAACCCCCCCAAGGGCCATGCCGACCGCCTGTCCCTCCAGCTGGCCCTCACTGAGCTGGAGACGTTGGCAGAGAAGCTCAATGAGCAGAAACGCTTGGCCGACCAAGTTGCTGAAATCCAACAGCTCAGCAAGAGCATCAGCGACCGCAGCAGCCTCAACAAGGTGGGTCCTTCAGCCTCACCTCCTCATCCTAGTGATGGGTGGGGTTTTGGAGCCAGCGGTTGAGCTTTGCAACTTCCACCTTCCTCTCTGCATCAGGGGTTTTGGGAAGCCAGGATCCTTGTTTTCTCTGAAACCACGTTGAGCAAAAGCAAATCTCGAGGTTGGCGTGGGGAAACTCCCCTCCAGGGAAAACCAGGGACGAGCTGCTTCGTCTCATCTGCCTGATTTTGCAACCGTTGGTGGAAAAAACAAAAAAAAAAAAACCAAAAAACAAACCTAAATGAAGATATTGCGACACTTCCTGGGCTGGGGACGAGTGTGGTGGCAAAAACCACGGCAGGACACATGCCAGCTCAGCTCTGGGATCAGGATTTAGGGTCAGGGGGTGAAGAGAGACCCAAAAGGAGCTGCGAAAGGGCCACGTAGGTGCTTCAGGGCTCTGCTGTCTCGGTGATTGGGCACGCAGGGTGCAAAGGGTTTTTGCATCGTGCAGCCTCGGAGCACGTTGCACAGCGGTCTCTGCGGAATTTGGTCACGCGTGCTCCCAGCTGGAGGAAAATCCTTCTAATAAGGGAAAAGCAACTCAAATTGGGGGTAGGAGGTCTGCAATAGCCCCTAAGCTGAACCCCTGCTCCATCCCGTTGGCAGCTGCTGAGCTCAGGGCACCGGCAGCTCCTGCTGCGCGAGACGCTGACGGAGACCGTGTACGGTGACCGGGGGCAGCTCATCAAGTCGAAGGAACGGAAGGTTTTCCTCCTCAACGACTTGCTGGTCTGCGCCAACATCAACTTCAAGTACGTGCTGGTGGCCCCAGACCCCAAAATCACTTTGCAAAAATGCCCATGTAGTGAGTGACCTTCCCCCTTCCCCGCCTTGGTTTTGGGCTTAGTGGATTTTGCTAGCTCTGCCCCAAGAGGTTTTAAAACCACCCCACCTCATTTCAGAGGAGGAACCCAGCTGGTTTGGGGTTGCTTTGTCCCCCGCTTCTGGCATGCCTCCATGCAAAGCCTCCATCCCCTGGTGCTGTGGGGTCCCTGAGCCAGTTTGGGATCCAGGAGCCTGCTGGGACCTCAGGGCTTGGTGGAGGTTGATGCTGCAAAGGGGAAAACCCTCCCTGAACTCCCTGGAACACCTCTTTATTAATCATTTTTCCCCCTCTTCCAGGCCAGTGAACCCAGGGTAGGTGCCGAGCGTGGTCTGCTGTGGTTGTGTGCCCCATGTTTGGGGGTGCAGGCATGCACTGGTGCACGGCGTGGGTTGCAAATGAGACTCAGTGTGTGAAATGCATTTTGCGAGGGCTTACAGGGCAAGCCAAGGCACCTGCCTATTTACGTGTATTTTTTTGCATCCTCCCTTGGCAGAGGCCAGCTGGAAATTAGCAGCCTGGTGCCCCTGGGTCCCAAATACGTGGTGAAGTGGAGCACGGCCCTCCTGCAGGTACAGGTGGTGGAGGTGGGACAGGAGAGCGGCGCCTACGACAAGGACAACGTCGTCATCCACAACGCCGGGGCCAAGAAGCACACGCCGACCGGGCAGTCCTCGCACAGTGAGCGCCCGTCCCTTGATCTGGTGTTGGGCTGGTTTTGGTGGGGTGGCATCCTCCACAGACCTCGTTTCTCTGTTTCTCCACCCAAGATAAAGTCTACCTGGGGCCACCGCGGCTCTTCCAGGAGCTGCAGGACCTGCAGAAGGACCTGGCGGTGGTGGAGCAGATCACCCTTCTCATCAGCACCTTGCATGGCACCTACCAGGTACCTACGTGCCAAAGCATGGTCAAACTCATGACTTGGGTAGAACCAGCCTCGGGCACTTTGCAATAACCATGCAGTTTCTTGGGGACTATTGGACACCTCATCACCCCAGAACTCCACAGATGAAATCTGGGGGTGATTCAGGCTTGTTTTGGAGGCACTTCTTTAATTTATGACTTTTCTCCCCCTAGAACCTGAACATGACGGTGGCCCAGGACTGGTGCTTGGCTCTGCAGAGGATGATGAAGGTGAAAGAGGAGGAGATCCACTCTGCCAACAAGTGCCGTCTCCGTCTCCTGCTGCCTGGGAAGCCGGACAAGTGAGTTTGCAGGTCATGCGTAGGCTCTTCCCACCCTGGGAAGGAGGATGCTGAAGGCTGACCTGGTGATGCTTGCCCCACGCAGGTCTGGCCGCCCCATCAGCGTCATGGTGGTCTTCATCACTCCAAACCCCCTGAGCAAGATCTCCTGGGTGAACCGCCTGCACTTGGCCAAGATAGGACTGCGTGAGTAGCCTCATGGCACGTTGCTTGCCATCACCCTTGCTTTGAAAAGGCAAATGTGGGAGCAGAGGGGGGGGGTTTGCATTGCTCTGAGCATCCCAACACAAAACAGAGCAGGGTGGAAAATTCAGAGCAAGGTGTTGGAGAATATTTTGGGGGTTTGTGTGCTGGAAGAGGTGGGAATCGATAGTTCTGGCTCAAAATGCTTCGAGTTTTGCTGCACTGGGGTGGCATCTCCGGGTTGGTGTCGCGTGATGATGGATTTCCATCGGCTTTTGTGCTGATGGTGTTGGGAGCTGACCCATTTTCCATGGAATGGGATGACCAAGCAAGGGAAGAGCCACCCCTTCTGCCTGCTTCCCTGTCCCCATTCCTATTTAACTCCACGAGCTGCTGCAGCAAAATAAAAAAAAAAGTAGTTTAATGGAAGAAAGAAGAAAAAAAAAATAATTTGAAATCCTATTTGAGTGCTTGGATCCCCTGGGCTGGAATGATTCTTGATTCTCTTGTTTTTAAGTTTGTGTTTTTTGTTTTGGTTTTTTAATTTGGGATGCCTAGGGGATAATCCTGCATCCATGAGTTAGAAATGAAAGCACATTAAAGCCTAATGTGAAGAAACACATTAGGGTGTATTCCCCCCCCCCTTTATATATATTTATAACAATAATTTGGGTTTGGGAGCTTGTTCTGCCGCTGCTGGAGGTGGTTGTTTGGCTGCGTGCTGCGGTGGGTCGCAATAGTTTGGAGGAAAGGCAGGAGGTGTGCCCGAAGTCGGCAGATGATGGTGGGTTTTGTTTGGAGACGAGAGCCCTGCACCCCATATTACTAATTCTGGGGTCCCATTGGGGCGGGGAGAGATGCTGGGGGGTGTCTGGGCTGTCCTCGATCTGCTCTGCTTGCCGCAGGGGAGGAGAACCAGCCGGGCTGGCTCTGTCCTGACGAAGACAAGAAGAGCAAAGCTCCTTTCTGGTGCCCCATCCTCTCCTGCCACATGCCTGCCTTCTCCTCCAAGGCCCTCGACCTGCAGGTAAGAGTGACAGCCAACCTCTTCTCTGACCCCCCCAATACCTCCTTCCTCTTTACCTCCATCTTCTTTGGGGACCAAAGGCAGAAATTCCACGGTGGATGGGCTGGATGGGGTGACCAAGCTGGTTGCAAAGGCAGAAATTGGTGAAAGCTATCCTCGAAAATTGAAAATACAAGCTGGGCTTTGGAAGAATCCTGATTTTTGGGACATGCACCGACACCTTGCACACGTTGGGGTAATTTGGGGGTGTTATGGACCCCCACAAACCCCTGGTCTCTCCCCCAGCTTGGTGCTGCGGTCCACAACCCCGTGCAGTCCTCGCTGCTTGGCTTTTCCGCCGTCAGCACCTCGCTGCCGCAGGGCTACCTCTGGGTGAGCAAACCAACCCCAAAACGGGGCAAAACCCCCTGGATATGGGTCATGCTGGCTGCAAACCGCCGCTCCAGTGCTTGTGGCTGGTGCTAACACCCATTTGCTGCTCTCTGCAGGTTGGGGGGGGCCACCCGGGAGCCCCGAGCGACCACCGAGCAGCCCCCCACGTCCCCGCATCCCACCGTGTGCTTGGGGTTGCGGGACGGCAGGTGAGCCCGCATCTCCTGCACCCAGCCTTCTGTGCGATCGCCGGGACCGGCGCGATCTCCCGCATCTCCCTCCCGTTCCCTCCCCAGCATCGTGGTCTATGGCAGCGTGGACGCGGGGACGCAGTGCCTGTTGACCTGCAAAAGCCCGGGCGTGCAGCCCGTCCTCTGCTTGAAGCACAGCCCCGAGTACCTGTTTGCGGGGTTGCAGGATGGGACCGTGGCCGCCTACCCCAGGAGCAGCGGTGAGCGCGTCGCCGCGCGTGCTTTTGGACGCGATTTTTGGTGGGACCACCTAAAAACCGGGGA